CAGAGCCTGACGCGGGGCTCGAACTCACGGACCGCGAGATCGTGACCTGGCTGAAGTCGGACGCTTAACCGACTGCGCCACCCAGGCGCCCCTAAAAACAGATTTCTAATGACACCATACACACATAAATTGTATTAAGTTGGGTAACATTGTTTTAGTGTTTGCCTATATGATAGCAAATCCTCAATAATATTTAAACTATGCTATGCGGGGGCAAATCAAAGTCAGTAAGGGTCATCACAAGAGGAAAATCCTTAAAATTTTCTACCATAACCCTACATAATAACAAAATGATACTGAATTTTATCACCTCCTAACATGGACATTATCAGTAAAGAAGTCTCCAAACAGAGTAGAACACACTTTTTTTCTTCTCTCGGACTATAAATATTCATTGCTAAGCACAGAAACCCTCTGAGCCCACTCACCTTGGCAGGACTTGCCTGACTGGCAGTGTGTCATGTGGTTCAGGACGTTCTTCATCGTGCGACAGTGGGGAAGGTTGCACTGCCTTACTTCCCCATTAGCCTGCTCGCGGCGCTGGCACTTGTGGGCGTGCAACAGGAGCACGAGCTGCTGCTGGATGAGCTTGCGCTTCTCTGGATCAGCCGTGTGCGCTCCAGAACCCATCCCTTGGGCTACCGGAGTCACGAGGCCTGGCTGCTGGACCTGTGGGGCCTGCTGTTGACCCTAAGAGAGAAAACAACAAAGGTCCATGTAACATTAGTTGTCATAGGGTGCTTTTTAGTAAATACAGACCTGGACATTTTCTTTCTTTTTTTTTTTTTTTTTTTTTTTCACGTTTATTTTTGAGACAGAGAGAAACAGAGCATGAACGGGGGAGAGTCAGAGAGAGAGGGAGACACAGAATCTGAAACAGGCTCCAGGCTCTGAGCAGTCAGCACAGAGCCCGACGCGGGGCTCGAACTCACGGACCATGAGATCATGACCTGAGCCGAAGTTGGACGCTTAACCGACTGAGCCACCCAGGTGCCCCAGACCTGGACATTTTCAATTAAAACCTTTAAGGACATCCACCACATGCCACAGGGGATTCCAAGGTAGATAAACATCAGTCCCACCATCAAGAAGTTCAATAACAAAGTTACATCACCAAGTAATATAATCAAAGTATATGTAATATACAAAGAGCAAAACAAAGAGGACACCATAAGCTCAGGTGGGAGAGGGAAAGGCAAGGAATCCGTAGTGAAGAGCAAGTCCAAGTCAGGTTCTGAAGCACAGTAATAAAAACCTCCTGGGAGACTGAGCAGGGGCCTTTTAGGTGGGTGAAAAGTTAGTTTCTGTAATTATGGAAGAAAGCGCTTTCTCTTCCCTGATAAAGTAAACATTTCTGGGGTCACAGATGCCATGTTTTATTCTTTTTTAAAAGATCTGCAGTACTTAAAGTATCTGAAATATAGGCAAAAAAATAAAAAACAAAAAATCTGAAAGAGAAATGGAATTTCTATAGGACAATTTTTCCCAAAGGTAAACAGGGACTACTTAACAAATTTACAAGTAGAAACGGTTTTACTTTTAGAAAAATAGCAATGTTAGAAGCTTTGGAGATTTATTCAAAACAAAAATCACGGTTTTTTTTTTTTTTTTTTTTTAAACATTTTTATTTTTTATTTTTGAGAGACAGAGACAGACAGAGCATGAGTGGAGGAGGGGCAGTGAGAGAGGGAGACACAGAATCTGAAGCCAGGCTCCAGGCTCTGAGCTGTTAGCACAGAGCCCAACGCGGGGCTCGAACTCAGGAAGCTCGAGATCATCACCTGAGCTGAAGTCAGACGCTTAACCCACTGAGCCACCCAGGCGCCCCTGGGGGCTCGAACTCAGGAACCTCCAGATCATGGCCTGAGCTGAAGTCAGATGAACCGACTGACCAACCCAGGCGCCCCCCACAAAATCACTGTTTAAAACAGTGTTTAACTTTGAGAGGGAAATTACTTTTGTGTGCTGATATCAGATACAAATGTGTAGATATGGTCACTGAGAGTTGGAATCCTTTGCTTGAGAGTACTTTCCAAGAGAAGTTCTACTTTCATATTCTATAGAAATACTCACAAGAAGATGTGTAATATGGCAGGCTACAAAATTTTCACTGTAGCAGCCCCACTTGCTCCCATCTGGCCCAACACCCTTACTGAACAATACTACAAGAAATAAAAACCCATGGGAAATGGAAGGTATCAAGCCTCCTTGATCACAGGGTCCATCTTCACATCCTAGTGTGTACAGCAGAAAGCATTACAGTTTAACAGTTCTTTGTCAAAACGCCAGTTTAAAGACAAATTTGTAGACAGATTACTACCCACCATGTTGGGCATTCCTCCACCAGGAACTGCCTTTTTGTCCATTGCAAATGGAGGTAAGCTATTTGGTAGTACAGACTTTGTCTGAATCTGGAGACCAAGGCCACTGGCTCCAATCTGCTGTCCAGAATTCTGAGTGTATGGTGAACCGTAAGGATTAGGGTTGTTCATCATTCCCATCTAAGAATTAAAAAAAAAAAAGATGAGAAATTAAATCTTATTCCTTACATTAACGGAACATTACTATTCTCTTTCCTTTTTTTTTTTTTTTTTTTAAACGTTTATTTTTGAGAGAGAGAGAGGGAGACACAGAATCAGAAGCAGGTTCCAGGCTCTGAGCTGTCAGCCCAGAGCGCAACGCAGGGCTCGAACCCACGAACTATGAGATCATGACCTGAGCCTCAGTCAGATGCTTAACTGACTGAGCCACCGAGGTGCCCCTCTTTCCTTTTCCACTTCCTAATTTATAAAAACAATTTTAAAGGAAATCCTCTACCATTATAAATAAGACTAGAGAAGTATGTTCATGAAAATACTCACTTTCAAAATTGAGGAGCCTCAGCTCAGGTAGAGTAAATTTACAGCTATTTTCTGTAAATACTTGATATAAATGTGTTTTAGAAATTTTTATAAGCATTTTCATTAATCTGTATCTGCTAAGGTTTACCATTCATCTTCACTTTTAATGCATTAAATATATTTTTATTTAATGTACAATATATGACTTAATAAATTCAACTCAATAAATGACCTAATCCCTAAATTTGTTAGAGAGTTGATATGTGAAAAGCATCTGAATGCTTGTTCCAGCATTTTGTTTACATAAAAGGTAGCAAACTGATAGTTCAGGGGAGATTTTTCATTTAGGAACAAAGCGGCAGAGTGGTTTTGAAACTTTCTGAATCTGAATCCTTTAGACAGAACATGTAAACTTCAGAGTCCATATCATTCCTTGCTGTCTTAAACCTAGCAGCTTTGAGGCGCCTGGGTGGCTCAGTGGGTTATGTGTCTGACTCTTAATTCAGTGGGTTATGTGTCTGACTCTTAATTTTGGCGTAGGTCACGATCCCAGGATAGTGGGATCAAGCCCTGCACTGGACTCCATGCTGAGCGTGGAGCCTGCTTAAGATTCTCTCTCACCCTCACCCTCTGCTGCTCTCCCCAGCTCGCATGCTCTCCCTCAAAAAGAATAAAAAAATAAATTTAAAAAACCTAGCTGCTTTATTCATTAAATTACCTGCTTGGATCTTGAAGTAGTTTAAATTTCTTTGTAACCCTTATATACTTAAGAAAGGAGGTTTTTGTCTGTATTTATAAAGTCAACCTGGAGTGCTGGACATTTATTAAAGAACAGAGTATTAATTATTCAGAAGCCAAATGTTTTACAGATAGCAATGATAAAACTTACAATCCTTCCATATAAGAAACCACTGTAAGTCAAACACCACCTACTAAAACATATAGCAAAGCTCTCAGAAAACTAGGGAAACTACCGCTACTGCCCAATTAAAAGGAGTCATACTAGATTTTCATCCCTCTCAGCTAGATCCAATTCTATCAGAGGAGCCTTCAAATTCCATCTCTAAACACACACACACACACACACACACACACACACACACACACACACACACCCTACAATTGCTCCCAGTCCACTGTCACTGTCTTAATTCAAGCCCCTCAATCACAGCTTGTGTAGACTGTGTCCAACAGGTTTCCTCACTTTCTGTCTATTCTATTTTCTACCCAGAGCCTTCGTGATCTCCATGAGGCCTATCTATCCATGGTGTCCTACTATATCCTGTACCAACTAACTTACAAATCTGAGGAGCAGCTTGCTTCTTGAATCTCTAGCATCTGCCTTAAAGATTTTCCTTTTCCCTATAACTAGACAGTGGCACACCCTCCCTTCCTGTTTGACTCCTGAATGATAACCTGTAAAAGAAATAAAATACTAAGTTCACAAAGAGGCAGTCCAATTTTTCTTTTTGTTGCGTTACTTAAAGATACATTTCAAAAGCTACCATCTCTATGAAACATCTGTCTATAGTCCTAGAGAGCTAAAGAACTCTTTTTCTACCCTGACATAAATGTTTGTGCCTTTATTTATAATACAACACAGATGATAAAATAAAATGCCTGCCTCTTCTATGCCCCAAGACTCTGCACAGTAGGGGAAAGAACTCAGTCCATTTCTCTTTGTAACCCCACTGTCCTAAATCTGATCAACAAAAGGAGCCCCTTGACTCAGGAAAACAGAAATATAAAAGTCATAAAATAAACACATAAGCCCCTGTAAATAAAACTGTTCTTTCAACCATATGCAGTACCTATTCTCTGGCAAATGTATACGAATATGACATCTTTATCAGTTCCAAGGTTTGCCTATAGTGAAGAGGCAAAATAAAGAAAAATTCGAGAACATTTACAGTTTCCAGATGAGATCAGAGACTAGGATGGAGTTCAGTAACTCAGGAATTGAGCCTGAAAGAAGTGGCAAGGTTTGGAGCAGCCTGAATGGGAAGCATCCAGAGTAAAAAACTTACTGCTTGAGTCTTCAATAACTGGAATTTCTTAAGTGAATCTGGCCAATAAGACTGTAGGGACGATCAAATACAGAAACAGGTTTAAACCCAAGTTCAGGTTTCTTTTGGTAGTTTCATGTGTGGCTGCAGGTGTGGGGGCTACAGATGCTTTTCCAGTACTAACATTCATACTACTATAGTTCCAATAATACACGAGCCTGTATCTGGGAGAGTTACAGTTCACTTAACTGTGTTTCCTATTAGCGTGGAAATTCATGATAGACATAAAACGAAAGCCATTCTAACACAGAATCTGCAAGACAGACCATAAAAGACCAACAGACAATAAATTAAGCTTTTAGGAGTCCATTATTTACATAAATAAATAAAATACTGGGATCTGCAGGCTGTTTTGAGGTCTCTTAATAAGTATGTCTCTACTCAAATAGATCAGAGGAGAATCTGGTCCTTCATGTTTGTTCACACAGACACTGCCTTACCTGCTCACACCAACTGAGTTTCAACCAGTTCCTGACATTGCTTACTTTCTCAATCACGATGCCTTAGCTAGGAACTCCAAAGTGGACTATGGCCTCAAATAGAGAGACTGCACTGACTACTGGTCAGCTGGCAGCAATTCATTCCTGACACTTCTCGACACCCTGACCAACAAAGGCTCTCAGTCTTTTTTGGTTTTGCCAGTGTTAGATAAAATACAACCAATCTCCCTATCCTTACCCTTTCACTCTCCCCAACCTCCAGTACTCCCCCACCAAATATAACAGGAAGGGAATATACTGTACTTAATTTCTGCTACACTGTAGTTCGTTATTTGATCTTGTTCCCCTTCTCTATACCTAATGTGATCCAGGTGTCCAACTACTCACCACCTACCTGCATCACAAGGATACAGATAACTAAACTCAAAACGCAGAGGACCAGGAGACCAGGAAGCTAGCTATAACAGCTCTGGGCAACTAGAACAAAAAGCACCTCAGGGGATTAGCTTTTCTCTCTTAAAAAAAAAAAAAAAATCTCACTCTACAGGTTGTTTCTAAATTTTCAGTATATTAAAAGCAGAAACGTACAGAGCACAGGAGTACAAAAAGATACCGGAGAGCGGCAATCACTGGCAAATAAATAGGAAAAATAAAAAGTGGTACCTCATATAAAGAATATAGCTATTTGGAAATATTTAATATAGGGGGAAAAAACTCCTTTAATAAGACTTGCAGGCACCACAGTAACACAAACCAATAAATACCATGCAGGTGACTCCAAAATTCATCAAATAATAAAAACAAAATTGAACTACATTCAGACATTTCCTACTATCTACTGGAGTTGATAAATGCCCATGTTATGTACCTGTATACAAGTTATATGCCAGACATCAAGTTAATCACTGAGGGTACAATGATAAACCAGGAGGACTAGGGATCTCTCAGAACCTACACCAAATCCTAAACATTATTTTTCTTTATTTCTTCCCATTATTCTTATACCAATATCTTAGTTTAACTGATACTGCATACCTAAAACTGTATCCACCTAGATTGTAAATTTGGGTTTCTAAAACCCATCAGACTACAGTATTTAAGACAATCTTTCTCTCAACGTGGATTCTTTCTCCTTGACTTACGCTTAACACGCGCTGCCCAACTGGTCCTTCCTACCTGCTTCATTCCTTGCCAATCCAAGTTCAATCACTGCTCTTACTTTAAAACTTCATAGGTTAAATACTCTTTGGGGCGCCTGGGTGGCTCAGTCGGTTGAGCGTCCGACTTCAGCTCAGGTCACGATCTCACGGACTGTGAGTTCGAGCCCCGTGTCGGGCTCTGGCTGATAGCTCAGAGCCTGGAGCCTGCTTCTGATTCTGTGTCTCCCTCTCTCTCTGCCCCTCCCCCATTCGTGCTCTGTTTCTGTCTCAAAAATGAATAAACGTTAAAAAAAAAAATTAAAAAAAAAATACTCTTTAATATCATATGCCAAAAACCATCACAGCCTGATCTTAATTTTAAAAGAAGAGCTCCAAAAATGATATTACTGCTCCTACCTCCTCAAAAATTTTTTTAAAATTTAAGTTTTTTATTTAAGTCATCTCTATACCCAATGTGGGGCTTGAACTCATGACCCCAAGATCAAGTTGCGCGCTCTTCTGAGCCAGCCAGGCACACCACCCCCACCCCAAATTTTTTTTGAAGAGAAAAGAAAGAAAAGGGGAGTTATTCCCAAGGCTAATACTCATTAAAAAAATTTTTTTTAAATGTTTTTATTTATTTTGAGACACAGAGAGACAGAGCGTGAGCAGGGGAGGGGCAGAGAGGTAGGGAGACAGAATCTGAAGCAGGCTCCAGGCTCTGAGCTGTCAGCAGAGCCTGATGCGGGGCTTAAACTCATGGGACTTCAAGATCATGGCCTGAGCTGAAGTTGGACGCTCAACAGACTGAGCCACCTAGGCGCCCCAAGGCTAATATTCATTTAAATGAAGTTCAGAGTTGTTGTTGTTTTAAAATACGAATTTCATTAGTCACAAAGCATATAAATTTTGGCTATGAATCTATCCAGATAGCAAGTAACACATAAGTCTTCATAGCATGTGAGGTAACCAGAGTCACAGTAAAGGAGGGTAGGATTTGTCATCTCCCAGATCTA